TCCTGTCCACCCTGAGGTGAACGCCCACCTTCATGCCAGGGTTTGGCGGGAGGTGGGTGGCCCAGCAGGCTCCTGGCCACGTCCTCATGCTGCCAGTGTTCACCCTCCAGACGCTGTGTGAGACACTGCACAGTGAGAACAAGGAACTGCGCACCAAGCTGGAGAGGGACCTGGAGCAGAGAAACCAGGCTCTGGAAAAGCTCAGGTGAGGGTGGGTGGTGTGGAGGGGGACAGGGCTGCCCTGGGAGATTCTTCCCACTGACCCATCCTCCCTGCCTGCAGGTGTGAGAACCAGGAGCTCCGGAGGATGGTGACGCTGAGCAGCCAGGACAGTGGGAAGAGGGAAGCTGCCGAGCAGCAGCAGGTGAGGAGGCAGCATCGCCTTGGAGAGGGCCGGGAAGGAGGCAGGGAGCCCGCTGACACATCAGCAAAGGTGGCCTCATCTTACTCAAGCCCCCAGTTTGTCCCAGTATGACCAGCAAGACTTCTCAGGGTCTCAAGGGGATGGGAGAGGCCGTGGGAGGGGAACTGGCTTGAGTTTAGCCGACCTTGGGCACAGCCTCCACAAAAGCCCTGAGGGTCCCCCCGTGCGCGTCCAGCAGAGCGGGGCCATGGTGGAGAAGGCGCCGGGCAGAGAAGAGCTGGAAGCCAAGGAAAAGAAGGTGAAGATCCTGGAGCACCAGCGCAGGGAGGTGAGGACCAGGCTGGGAGGGAGGCACAGGGCTGGGATGGGATGGCACCAAGAGACTGGGGCAGGGCTGCAGAGCCACAGGGAAGCACTGCTGGAGCTGAGATCTCCATCCAGCTGGTCCCCGAGGTGCTTTCATGTCAGGAGTCTGCTGGGCACTGCCACAGCTGGCTTGGAGCAGGGTTTGGGCTCCTGTTCAGCCATCCCTCTCTCCTTGCAGCTGCTGGAGGTGAATAAACAGTGGGATCAGCATTTCCGCGCCATGAAGCAGAAGTACGAGCAGAAGGTAGGGCTGGATGCTCGGGGGCCACATCTCTACTGGGTGCTGGGTGGGGGGGACTCAGAGGAAACAGGGTGCAGGGGAATGTTTGGGGGCTGCCTGCGCCCCCTTTCCCCCCATTGTGGGTCCTTCCAGGCCAACGTCCCCACTCTCCCCTGGCAGGTCACGGACCTGCACCAGGAGCTGGCCGAGGCCCGCAGGGCACTGACCGAGCTGGAGGCGGAGCGGGAACAAAAGCAACGGGATTTTGACCGCAAGCTGCTCCTGGCCAAGTCCCGCATCGAAACGGAAGAGGTGAGTGCCTTGGGAAGAGTGACAGGGAGCTGCCAGCCCTATTGCCCTGCGCTGGCTGATCTCCCTCCCACGCCCGGTCCTGCAGGCAGAGAAGGAAAGGCTGTCCATGGAGGTGAGAGACCTGCAGCAGAGGATGCGGTTCCTGCAGGAGCAGCTGGCTCCAGTCACCAGGCAGCGGGAATACCAGGAAAAGGAGATCCAGAGGCTAAACAAGGTGGGTGCAGGGCACAACCCCTCACTGCAAAATGTCTTTCATGTTCTCCGGTCTCTTCACCTCTCTCAAATCCCAAACTGACCCTGATCAAACCACTCTTGCCCAGGCAGAGGCTTGTGCCAGATGAGGCTCACCGTATCCCTCTGGGCTCCCAGGAAAGGGGGTTCAAGGAGGGTCTGTTGTCCCTCATGCCCCTGCCCAGTTATACCCACTTCCCATGCTGGGCACATGCCCATGGTACTCCAGAGACATCCTGGGGACTGCACCTTGCTCTGACCCTGCTCCCTTCCCTTCCTCCTAGGCACTAGAAGAGGCCCTGAATGTCCAGGCCTCTCCACCACCCATCTTTGCCATGGAGCCAGCGGGGAAGCTGCCACAGCAGGAGCTGTTGACCCAGAACGAGCTACTCAAGCAGCAGGTAGGGCAGGACACGGAGCCACTGGAGGCAGGGAAGGAGCTACATGTCCTGGACCTTCCCAGCAAAGAACCCAGAGCTGCCCAGCAGCTGGGTGGGTGTCAGTGCTGTGGTGGTGGGGACTGGGGACCGAGCTCAGCGTCCTCCAGGCATTCAGCTGGAAGGACCACAGCCATGGGCCATTGTGACAGCCCACATGCCTGGGGCTTGGCGTAGCTGATGGGGTCAAGGATGGCAAGTCAGTCATAGGGGTGCTTTGGGGAGGTGTCTGCCCTTGGTGTGGTGCACACACATTCCTCCCTCCTGCCAGGTGAAAATTTTTGAGGAAGACTTCCAACGGGAGCGGAGTGACAGGGAGAGGATGAATGAGGAGAAGGAAGAGCTGAAGCAGCAGCTGGAAAAGCTGCAGAAGCAGTTGGTCCTCTCCAACAACCAGGTGATTAGTGCTGGCTGCCACCAGCAGCATTTCCAGGAGCCCCATGTAATCCCTGTGTGTGTTGGAAGTGCTCATCCCCAGTGTCACAGCCCCCATGCCCACCTCAGAGCAGGGGCTGGGTGTCACCAGCAGCACTCTGGAAGCCCTGTGTCTGCCCTGGGTATGTCAGAGGTTCTTGTCCCCAGTGTCACAGTCCCCTGTACCTAAGAGCACCTAAGAGTAGGGGCTGAGGGAGGACAGGAGAGCAGAGGGGTGGTTTTTCTGCTGGATGTCACTGCCAGAGCATCTCCTTTCACTCATCACACAGACATGGGGGTGGCAGGGTGGGCTCTGCACTAACTCTCCTTGCTCCCAGCTGCGAGCCTCCAAAGATGACTGCCAGAGGGAGAAGGAGGAGAAGGAGAAGCTGAAGAAGCTGCTGAAACAGCACAAACAGGTGGGGATGGGAAGAAACCCTCCTTAGGCAGAGGGAGTGTGGGCTACAGGCCTGGCACCTCTGAGCCAGGTGATGGTGGTGGTGGTGGACTGCCCTCAGGATCTATCCATCATCTATCCTGGCTCCTCACAGGCTTCTGGAGAGAGGCTGCACCCCGAGCCGGTGCCAGGGCCGCTGGGCCCTTCCTGCCCCATGTACCAGTACCAGTACAGTCCCCCCATGGCTCACCCCATGTACCACGGCTTCGATGAGTGGCAGCAGGTCCGATACCCGCCAGCCATGCCAGGCGAGCACACGCCGGGACAGAACTTCCAGCATTTCCCCCCGGTGAGTGTCTACCTGTGCCAGCACAAGGGGGAGCAGAGGGGCCATGTGAGTGGGTCTGGGGCTCACTGCTGAGCAAGCAGCTCCTCTGGGGCCCCTGAATCACAGAGCAGGGAGCTGAGCACGTGTGTCCTGTTGGCATCTGACTGCTCAGCCCCTTTCCTCCCCCTCCTCCTCCTCACACCCTGGCAATCAATCAGGGAGTGCAGCCTCATGATTCACATGCCTGGTAATTCACTGTGTTCCATCTCCTCCCACAGCCTGAGTACCCTTGGCGCCCACCCTGTGCCATGGTTCGCAGCCAGAACGCCCAAGCAGTGGCTGGGGTGAAACCAGTCCCCAAGGACTTGGGTAAGGCTCAGACCCCTGGTGGTGAGGGTGCCCCTGTCCTTCACTTGAACCCCTGAAGTTGGTGCTTGGCTGAAGACCTGGGGGAGGGATGGGGGCTTATCTTTCCAGGCAGTGCCCATTTCCCCTCAACCCCCCTCTCATCAGCTGAGGGGGTGATTATGACATGGGGTTGGTCCCTGGTGCATCCCCACCAGCATCCCCACAGCACCTGAAGTTGGGCTGAGCTCCAAAAGCTCACGGAATTGTGGCAGTTGGTGCTCGGGAATAGCAGCCATGCCATGGCTGCCATCCCTCCCATGGGGCTTGTCTGGGCATGAAGAGCTGCACTTACCCCCTGCCACCCCTGTCTTGTGTTCCAGAACAGGCAGGTCCTGGACTGCCCTAACGCCAAGGACCGGCTGCGCTCCGACACCACTGGAAGAGGAGTAGGGTGTGTGTGTGTGCCCGTGTGTGTGTATCCAGGAGCTTCCTCCGGCTGCCGATCCCTGTGTGTGGACATGTGGTGCACGTGGCTGCACTCGTGGCCTGGATTGGCTCAGCAGAGCATCCCCCCAAGAAAATCATGAAGGAGGGACTGGAGGGGCCATCGCGGTGGCGGCCAGTGCAGGGTCAGGCCCCTGCAGCCTTCCCCTTCCCCCCGAGGTGTCAGGCCTGGCGTCGCTGTAGAACTGAGTCAGGTCTTCGGGGAAGAGGAGCCAGCGTTTCCCAGGAGCGTGCCAGGAGCTGCCCCGGTCCAGGGGCTTGGGTTCAGCCCCTGGAGGAGCGGGTGACGACGAGGACTCTCCCAGCGGTGGGAGGTCCCACTCTCGCAGGCAGGTGCCGGCCACAGCCATGGCCCGGCCTGAGCCTGGTTGGTGTCTTTGTATTTATTTAAGGACTGAAGTGTGGCTGAGTCTCTCTGCTTTTATCCCGAAAGCTGCTTCCTTTGGGGCAGCCTCTGCATGGAGACAGGGAGGGATGCCAGGGCTGCTGGTCCTCCGGTGCTCTAGGTCACAGGGCCATAGTGAGCACAAGGGGTCCCCAACCCTTGCACGGGCACTCCAGGATCTATTGCCCCAAGTCCATGCCCCCCTACCTCCCTCTGGGCACTGGGCTCAGCCCCCCACCCTTCTCTCTCCTGCCCCCCACCTCTGCCAGGGCAGGGAGGTCTCGACTGTCCTGTCTGCCTCTCCATGCAGCAGTGGCCTCGGGGACAGTCCTTCACATTGCACAGCAAATCTTGCTCCAGAAAACAGGTGTGGAGGGGAAAAAACAAACACAACCCTTTGTGTAACACAACCCTATTTGTGTAAGCATGGCTGTCATGTGTGTGACAGCAGGAGCCACTGGCCCAGCATGCTCCTCACTGGGGGCTGTCCTTGGTCCCACCTGCAGCCCATTTTGCCCACCTCTACACCCTGTCCCCCTCCTCTCCCCAAATGCTGGACTGTGATGACAAATCCTTGTTTGCAGTTGCCCGGGGAAAAAAAATGGAGTTTCTCCAGTTAGGAACTGCTCCCCCCAGGCTGGCTGCTGTGCCCTCCCCACTCTTCCCTCTCTACCCCGACCAAGGAGTGGGGCTGTGCATTTGCAGAGCCTTTATTTGGTGTTTCTATGGTGGGGGGCGAGGGGTCAGCTGCCCCCGACTGGGAGAGCAGCACGTCTGTGCACCAGAACCACGGGCAGCTTGAATGCACTGAAGAGCTGCTCCGTGCTCGGCAGGATCAGGCCAGGCCCACCCCACACTGGGGGCTTTCGGGCTGAGCCTTCATGGAGACGTGGTCTTCTGCTCCAGGGGCAGCTGGCCCCTGCATCCTCCCACTGCCTGGGATGGTGGGGCAGAGGAGTGCAAGCTGGAGGCCAGGAGACATCACCACCAGGGGTGGAGGTGGGACATGGAGTTATTGGAAATGTCCCACTCCCATTGCTGAGGTCTCTGACACAGGGTGACCCAGCCCAGCATCCTGGCTGGGGGGGTGACAGAGACGGCAGCAATGGAAGGGGACAGCATTTAGCTCTGGCTGCCAGGGAACATCCTGGGAGGGAATGGATGGGGAAGCAGCCAGGGGGGATGCCGGCCCTCATGCCAGCTCTACTTGTCCTGCTTCTCCTGCCGCTGCCTCAGGTAGGCCATGATGTCGTTCTTCACGACCCCGATGTTGGCGCGATGGTACCAGCGCATGATAGGCACGCCATCAGGCCCCACCAGGAACTTCTCGAAGTTCCACTTGATGTCATGGATCCGCAGAGGCTCCCAGAAGAGTTTGTTGGGGTTCCCAAAGTTCTCCGTCACCGGGGGACAGGCATTCTGCAATTAAAGGCCAGTGCATCACTGCCTTCCCCCTCCAAAAACCAACCTGGGTGCTGCCCCCTCACCCCCCCTTGCCACGGCACCCACCTTCAGGAAGGTGAAGACCTTCTGCTCCTTGACCCCATTCACATCCCCCTTCTGGAAGAGCTGGAAATTGGGTTCAAAGCCACCTCCTGGCCGGACGTGCCTGCAAGGGGAGGGTGGGCAGGAGGCTGTGCAATGGACAGCTCTGGATGTTGCACAAGGGGTGGTGAGGGAACCCCAAAACCCCTTGTTTTGGGGGCCACAGCCCCAGGCTGGGAGGGAGGTCACAACCAGCAGGAGCTGCAGCCTATGCACCCACCACCTGGCTGGGGACCTCAGAATAGCTGGGGTGCACCACAGCCCCCACCACAGTACTCACTTCAGAGCAGGGAGGATCTCTGAGTTCTGGCCAGGTTCCTGCTTCCCAAATTGGTTGGAGGGGAAGCCGAGGACCACAAGCCCCTGGTCTCTCAGCTCATTTTGTAGTGCATTCAATTCTGCATGCAAGGAGAGCCAGGGGTGGGTTAGCAGGGGACCAGGCATACCCCCAAACCTGCACCCACCTCCCTCGGAACATGTTACCCCTTCCCTCAGCTCCCTGAAGCAGAACAGGCCACAGGGACGTGCCAAAGGCTGCACCCCTGGGTGACACCACCCACTCCTGGGCTGCCTGCCCTGACCCCGAGGTGTGTGTGCCCTGCAGGGCTCTTACCAACATACTGCAGGGTCAGGCCTCAGTACGTGGCCACGTTGACGAAGAGCACCATCTTCCCCTTGTACCTCTCAAAGGGGATGAACTCGTCCCCATCGATGGTCATGGCTCCATAATTGTAGATGGTGTCGTTTACGGAGTTGTAGCAATCCACCTGTGGGGCGAGGAGCATCCCATGGGAGCAGGCTGGGGGGCTGCCCGCCACCCCATTCCCCATCCCCACAGGCACCAGAGCAGCAGGCCGAGCCCTGGCACTGGCTGTGAGTGCAGCTGCCAGCGTTGTGTCTGTCCCCTGTCCCAAATACTGCTGGCAGCAGCCAGGCTCCAGCGTGCCAAGGTCACAGTGATGGGACAGGCTGGCTTGCTCATGCAGATGCACATGTGTGTGCACACATGTGCAAGCCTGGGCAGCGGGCCCGGCTCCAGCCGGGGGAATGTTTATTGGCCAGGAAGCGGCAGGAATGGGAGAGGCTGGAAAACAGTGAGGCCGGCCCCAGTGTCCCGGGCCGTGGGCAAATGAGCAGGACTCAGCACCTCCCCACGCCTCTGGGGAGCAGGGGCAGCACAGGGGGATCAGGGTGGCACTGGAAAGGGCGGGGCTGGAGCAGCCCCTGCATGCGGGCCACAGGGATTAACTCGGGGGAGCCCATCTCCTGTCCCCCACCAGGGAACTGAGGCACAGCCAAGTGCACGGAGGGGCTATTTTGGGAGCTGGCAGGAGGTGAAGTCACAGGGGCTGTGCCCGGGGACTGAAGGCTCCGTTGGGCTGTGGGGTCCCAGCGGGCAGGGTGGAGAGCCTGGCTGGGGGGGTGACAGTCACCCCTGTCCCCTGCCCGCTGGGCTGTAAGGACATGGCAGCCTCCACACCCTCCAAAAACGGGGGAACCCCCTGGATGATGTGCATGGAAGAAAATCCCCGTGGTCTGCCCCAGCGGAGGTCGGAGGAGGGGGTGTCATAGGGCCACCGTGCCCCACTCCTGCCCCGGGGAGCCCTGCAGAGAGCCTTGGGGACAGGCGGGTCCCCAGGGTGTCACACAACCCCCCGTCACCCCCCTCACAGGCCCCGTGGAGGTGCCCCCCGCCTCTTACCTTCTCCCTCTGCTCACTCCACCCCGGCTGGACGAGCCCAGCCAAGAAAAGGGGCAAAATCCAGGCGCTGCGGGAGCAGCCCCCCATGGTGGGGCGCGGGGTGAGGGGTGCTGGCACCCCCCTGACAGCCCGGGGCCAGCGGCGGGGACCAGCGCTGCTGTCGCCTGCTGTCACCTCCGAGCCCGGCGGCCAAGAAATAGCTGCGGGGCTGCGGCGGGGGAGCCAATGGCCGGGGGGGGCCGGGCCGGGGCCGCGTTAACCGTGTGGGCTCTGGGACGGACACACGGACACACGGACGGACACCGCCCGGGGGTGGCACCACGGCCTGGCAGGGACCGGGGGCACCCACGGGAACACGGGGCAGAGGCATGTGCGGAGGGTTTATGCAACAAGTTATCCGAGCCGGGATAAACCCGCAGATTGGGAGGAGAAGTGCCGGGGGGACGGGGAGTGGGGCGAGAGAGGGGCCGGGAGATGGAGAGGGACCAGGGGGGCAGAGGGAGCGAGGGGGGGAGAGAAGTGTCGCAGCGAAGAGGTGCCCCATCCTGTGCAGGGCACCCAGCCAAGGTGGCATTTCCCTCTCAGTGGGGTGCTGGCACTCGAGGAGCAGGGACTAAACACCCCCAGCAGCATCCCGGGGAGGCCGGGCTGGGGGTCGGGGGGTGTGCGTCCCCCAGTGGTTGCAAGGGCAAAGCTGGGGAAAGTTGATCCTGCTTTTCTCCCTGGTGCCCAGTAAATTAGAGTATTGTTGAAAGCAGCCCTGGAGGAAGGTTCCTCCCGGGGCTGTTCTGGGGCTCGGGGGCTGTGGCTCCACACTGACCCTGCTGCGGTCAAGGGCAGGGCACCACTGTCCCTTAGCCCTTGGTGTCCCCAGGGGCAGGAGTTTCCAGGGTCCTGTTTGCACAGGCAAGAAATGCAAACGTTTACCCTGGGCTGTCTCCAAGGAAAATATCCCTGGTGAGGTGTAAATTCCTTGAAATCCCCCAACAAAACCATTTGATGGGAGAATTAACTGGATAGGAAACTGCGGTTTGGGGTGGGGGCTGGTCTGGGATGCAGGGCAGGATGGGGTGGCAGTGGGTGAGCCCTGGGGAGACCAGGAGTGCCAGTAGGAGGTTTGGCTTTACAAAAAAGCAGGGCCAGCCCTGCCATGATAGTGTCAGCAAACCAGCTGCTGGAGATATCACCAGGGAAGGGGAGCGAGGACATGGGTTAAGAGGAGGCTGGGAGCAATCTCCCAAACCATGTTTTTCACCGGAAGAAACACTATGTCCTTGGAAAGGCTGATATTGTCTGGCTCCGAATGCAGCCTCAGATGATGTGGGAGGGCTGGGAGTTGGGTGCATCCTTCAGGCACCCAGGGAACCTATGGAGAAGGGCAGCTGTGGGTCCCTCCGTCACTGGCAGCATTCCCAAAAGCTTTAAACCTGCACTGCTACTGGAGAAGTGCCTTAGCCCTGCCCTGGCATGGGGTTTGGAGTGTTTCTCCAGGTTCAGACAAACCCCCAAGGTCCTCAACTGCTGCCTGGAGATTGCCCAGAGCCCATTAGAAGGTGCCAGCAACCAGGCTGGCCACAGGGACGCTCCAGTTGACCCTCATGGATGTGGGGGAATGAGGCAGCTCTTTGCCAAAACCGGGGAACCTGTAGGAGCCATTATTAGGGGTTTGACCCTCCCCAGCCACTTCCCAGGCTCTGGGTAGATTTGGGGCCACAGGGCCATGGGGCTGCAGCTCCTGGCCAACACACTGCTTGCACCTCTCTGCATCCTGCAGCCCACAGGGACCAGTGTGAGCCTGGCACAGTGCCCTGCTCCCCAGCCAGCTCACACTGCTGAGCCTGACCAGGGCTTGAACCACCTCCCGGGACAGAGCTGGGACAGACCTGAGGAGCTGCTCGGGGCTGTGCTCCCTGCTCCACTAGCTCCCACCAGGGGAACAGCCACCCACTTCTAGTTATGTCCCCTAATTGCCTGGTGGCTTTCTCCTGGTTAATAAGGACTTGGTGGCTGGAAGAGCAGTGTGGCTTGTGCAGTGGTGGCACTGTGTGGTTGTGTCCCTTCCATGTGTCCCTGATCCTGCACAGGGAAAGGCTGAGCTACTTCAGAACTGAGTTTTCTTGAAATCAAAATAAAAATAAGGGACCTCTTTCTCCAAGCCCCCTCTCCTTGGGTCCTGGTGCCAAATCATCCTTGGTGGAGGTGGGGGATGGAGGAGTACTTAATGAGCCACAGCTGATGGACACCCTCTCTGTCACTGAGCTTCCACGGCAGCCTGGGTATGTCACTCAGTGTCCCCACCATGCTCTGCCTTGCCATGCCCAGGCTGCATGGCAGAGCTGAGGGTGCCAGGGGCTCCAGCAACACTGTCTGAGGGCAGTGTGTCACTCTATCCTGCAGAACTGGGGTCCTCCACTCCCAATGGCAGGCGCGCTGGCCGGGCTGACCCTCGCACGAACCTCCTTCCCTGGTTGTTTTTCCACCAGAGCTGGGCAGGAGCCAGCCCCCGCCTGCTGCAGATGTTTGGCAGGAGTTCGGGGTGGGAGGCCAGGCGCTTCCAGCCCCGTGGCCACCACACTGCTGCTGCCACCAGCCTCCCTGGCTGTCCCCGAGCTGCGTGCCAGGGGCTGCAGAGACCTCGTGCCAGGCTGCAGGGCCACAGCTGAGCACAGAAAGCATGAAAGCAGGGGTGGGGACCATGTACTGCTGCTGGCTGAACTTGTCCCAGAACTGATCAAGCAGTTTCTGCCATGTAGAGTGACAGGCCAGCAGTGTGCCAGGGTGGTGGTGGTGGTGAGCTTGAGCAGGAGCAGGCAGCACTGCCCTGGCTCACAGCAGTGCAGCTTCCCTCTGGCAGCCTGACATGGCATCAGTCCCAGGGCAGCCTCTGAACTTTTGTTCTAGGTGTGCAATGGCAGGCAAAAGCAGAACAAGCTCTGCCAGGCGAGAGGCCCCAGCTCTTTGGGCACGAGGCCTCCCCACACTGCCAGCCTGCAGCTCGCCCGGCCCCCGCCACCCTGCCCCAGCCCATGTGCTCCTGCACACTGCCCTGGTTCCGTGGCAGCCTCCCTGCTGGGCACGGTGCCCAGCACCTTTTGAAGTAAGGACCCCCCTCCCCGAGTGCCCTCGCAGCCCCCCAGGCTTTGGCCTGGTTGCTGCCCCCCTCCCCATTGCCATCCCTTCCTCTTCCAGGGTAAGATTTGTCCCCCTGCAGAAATGCCACTGACTCAATTTCCCACCCACCTTCCCGCCACAAAGGGGGACTGCTCACAGGCAAGGTGAGAGCCAAAATCCCCCATACCCCGCTCCCTGCCAGGGTTGCCCCATCCTCATCTCCCAGCAGCAGCCCCCATGAGCCAGCAGCCAGCTCCTGCCACACTCCAGCACCTCTAGGAAAGTATCCCAGTGGGCGCTGAATCACCTCAGCGCCTGCATCATGCCTGCTTGCCACAGTGTCTGCTCCTCAAAAGGCAGGAAAAGGCTTTTTTCCTTGGCAAAACACCACATAAACACTGCCTCTAAGCTCCAGCAATGTTCAGGCACTGAAGCCAGGGCTGTGGGAGAATTTGCTTATCTTACTCCATCCTGGAGGAGGAATTTCCAACTCAAATGTGTTGGAAATTCAGTCTATATCCATTCTTCCCTATCTTCATTTAAAAAATGTCCTGACTTCTCCCTGCTTTCCCCCAGCTGCCATTTCACTTCATGTTTGTTGTTGTTACAGGCAAACCCCTCTTTCCAAGGCCTTTCCTGGAAATGTTTGCCACGGACTTGAAACTCTCCAGAAAACTCATACCATGAAAGGAAACCTCTCACATCCCTTGGCTGCTCCAAGGGGCACACAGAGGTGGGAGCAGGCACTGGGCATGGTTACATGGCTGGGGTGGGGGGGAGGTGTTTCATACTTTCCCTCGTGTTTTGCTCCAAACCTGGCTTCCTTCTCAAACCATTCCAATGTTTGTGGCTTCTTCCCTATTCCTCTCATAGCGAAGCTGCTCAGCTCACGTTCCTGGTGCCAGATGCCGCTGGCCATCCAAACAGTGTCCCCAGGGAAGCAATGCTGAGGTGGAGCACGGCGGGGGGGGGGGAAGGGAAGCAGAGCTGGGGCTGTTCCCACCCTGCACATCCGTAATTTCTTCCAGCTGCTGCCGCACCGTGCCAGCACGGGAGGGAGAGAGGAGGAACAACAGGAAAATAACTCTAGTTATTTGCCTCAAATTCTGCAACTTGAGAGGGAAAGAGAGTCAACAGCTCGAAGCAGAAATTTTTTTCTGGGCTGGGCAAGGAATACGCATCCCTTTCCTCCCGGCACAACCACAGCCTGTGGCTGCAGCACAGGCATTTCCTCAGCTCACAAGGGTCTGTGCTGTGTTCCCTTCTCGGGATGGGAGGTGTTTGCCCAAGGTCCTGCTTCCCCAGGAATCGCCTGCCTCTCTAGCCCCAACCCGAATCAGATGCCAGCTGCCGCGGATCAAGCCACACGAGATGAGACAGGATTTGAACACTGCAGGGCTGGTTGCTCTTTCCAGCAAACAAAATGGGATTTGAACAATTCCCACCAGCATCACCGTAGTGTTTCCCCACATCCCTGACTCATCCTGTTACTTGAGACCTTTCCTGCCATGAGTCACCAGGACACCGTTTCAGCCCCAGGACTGCTCCTGCCCCACTGACCCCGGCACGAGGCTGGTGTGGGGAAGCGATGCTGGTCACCAGAGTGGGAGGAAAGCAGCCATAACCACTTTCAGAAAGTCCTGAGGGATCCTTCCAGGTGTCTGACAACCATTGCCCAATTGAAGTTTGCCCTCCCAGAGCGTGGGGCTGGGCTGGCAGTGTGCCTTGTATAGGGCTGCAGCCTCCAGGCTCCAAGGCCAGACAGAACCCCAGCACCTTGAGCCAAAACAGTGCAGGAGGTCTCTGTGCAGGAGCACAGAGAGGGCTTCTGGAGAGGCTGCAAAGTATCTCAGATCCTGTGCACGGGCACCCAGACGCCACCCGTAGTGTGAACAGAGCCACACGACATGCTCATGTGTAGGTTAAAGTCCATTTATTTCATAACAAAGAGCAATGCAAGAACTTACATGATCCCCTGCCACTGATTAGGTACAAACCTGCTCCTCCCACTTTACCTGCCCAGGTGAGAGGTGCACAGACCCCCCCAGTGGGGCCGGTGTGTTGGGTGAACAGTG